GCAGGCACACATGAACACATTGTCAGCGCATTTTTAATCCGCTTTTCAATACCAAACCCCCTTTTGCCCAATTAAACTCGGCTTAAATTTTTTTGGTCTTGCTGCTACTTTTATCCACACACACATACTCATGTACAGACACTTACACACAGACATACACACGCACACACACACATAAATTGGCAGTTGCACACAGATACAAATTGCCAACCAACTGCACAATTTTTCAATCAACTAAAAATGTTTAGAATGGCCGATACGAGTATATTCATTCACCAGGCGAATCGAACTGTGCAGCGCAATATGTGCTACAGACACAGATTGAGTCCGCGCTCGCATGTATGAGTGTGGATACATTCGTGTGTGCAACAAAAATGCCATAAAATAAAAGTGTCCCCCACCCCCGCAAAAATGGAGGCGGCAACGAAATTTGTTGCAAGTGCCGCGCATGGGGAGAAATGTTGCCACGTTCCGCAAGTCGAGCGCATGAAATTGCCATTTCCAATTAACGCCATGGCAAAAATAGTTAAATGCCAGCAACAACAACAACAACTACCTTTAGCCCAAAATAACAGCAAGTAAAGCAAATAGCACCAAGGACAGGCCACCATTGGTGACCACCAACGGCTCCTCGCACTGGCTTTGGCTTGTCCCCTGTCTTACTCTTTTTCCAGCAGCGAGTGAGCCACTCGCGTATTTTTTGGGGGATACCATCTGCAGTTGGAGCATGTGTAACTAACTCTATTAACGAACCGGAAACGGAAATACACACGCACTTTTGTCACAGACACACACACACACCCAGACACAGAATGAATGAATATTGGGCAGCAGTTGAGACACATGTTGTGGAGTCTCGCTCTGTTGGATATTTCGTGCATCGGCAGATGCACTCATGAATGCGTTCGTATTAACCAAAGAAATACCCTACAAGTCGCACTATTTGTGAATAGTAAGCTAGGCGCAGGATAGGGCTTGCATTTGTCTAGGCTCCAGATCCAACAGAGCCACATTCGATAGTAAAGCTGACAATATTAAAAGCATATCGATTCGATATCAATATATGACATACAACTCAATGTTAATAATTGGTAGGTTTAATTACATTTTTAAAATACTGATTGGGTTTTGTTAATTTTTTCTCATGCCACATATAAATCCCTAACTATAGATTATCTTGTTCATTTTTAATATAAGTTTGACAAATTTATTAATATATGTATTAAATATTATTAAATATTATAACTTAAGCGTTGTGTGTATATGTAAAGACAAGATAATATTGCGTTCTTAATAGTAAGTATTAATTTCAAACATAAATAAACTTATATGTATATCTAATTTTAAGGAATAACAAATAAAGTAATTTAAAAAAAAAAATTGAATCTTTTTTGACAAATTTTAAATTAATTTATGATAATTTAAAGCAAATTAACAATAAATTTAAGAATATTCGAAATTGTGAAACGATCAGAGCCCTTTGGGACCAAGCGCAGCAAAGATCAAAAACTCGTAATAAAAAGAGAATTTCTTTGCATGGAGTTTAAGTATCCTCTTTTCCAAGCACCTCTCATTTAATTAGCTCAGTTTATTTGGAAAACTGTTTTGTATTGTATTATTGTATAATTGTATATAAAACATTTAACGTACAGCATCTTTTAAATGAAGTTCGAGAATTCCAGCTGCTAAAATGGTGCTCATGTAGGGAAATAAATTGTTCCAAATACTCGTTTATTTTGTTGCAATTTTTTTTTATTTCTACTTTTTGTTGCTGCCACAGTTGTTTGCTGCAGGGCACTCGAAAACGGGCTACCTGTACAACCTTTGCAGTCCCAAAAGCCCCAAATACCCAACTCGCCATTCCCAAACCACCGAACGTCCCAGGTCCCAGTTGTCCTCCTGAACAGCCGATGGGGGCCATGTTGACCGACTTTCTCGCCGTGAGTTGATAACGTTTCGACCATTTTTAAATGTTCGGCTCGCAGGCAATTCGCAGTCGCATTCGCAGGGGGGGCTGGCAAATTTGCACGTTTCTATTGTGTGCGTTATAACGGCGCTTAAAATGCGACTCGATTTTTATCGATTTAATCAAGCGGCGGCTGCTGCGGCAAGTACAATGTATACGTACAAACATATATGTATATACATTCTTTTTTGTCGTTTTGTGTGTTTCTTTTTTCTGTTACGCCACAACCTGCAACGATTTCCATACGTAATTGCACTGTAATTGACAATTTATTGTGTCAATCGCAATCGAGGCGCAATTCCGCACCGCACGGTGTGTGCTACGTTTAATTAACAAGGCGACAACCATGCCACACACGAACCAAAAAAAAGATAGACAGTCCGAGCGAGAGAGAGAGAGAGTGAGAGAAATAAGATTAAACGCGTTACAATGGCAACAGCAAAAGAAATTTAATCTATTTTCGATACAAGGTATCGAGACAAAATACCTGCAAAGTTTCTGAGCTAGGTCAACGCTAGCTTCCTAATTAGGGATCATGAAAGTCGAAAAGTAGCCAATTGCGATATTAAGTACTATGATTGATGCGAAAAACGAACCGGATGTACGGAACAAGTGTAAATTTGTAGTTTACCTAGCTATTCTAAGTAATTGAGAGTTACAAGAAATGAGCTTCAGGGTTGAGCCCAATCCAAGAACGATCTATAGAACTTTAAATGCCTTAAAACATCTTATTGCTGTTAAGCAACGAATAGACAAAGTTCAATATTGGGCACATAGGCAACATAGGTATTTAATTAGTGATGGGGAATAACATAGAAAATGTTCTCTAATGTGGATTTTTATTGTTAAATCTGCTGTAAATTACCACCTATAACTCTCATGCATACGAAATTGCTGGAGATTTACATGTGGAAAGTAAATGAATACATAACTAGCCTCTGCGTTCGCTTACAAATGGATTCGTTCCATACCATACCCCGAATTTTACTAGACCTCAAGGTTTGCAAAACAAAAATGATTAACCAGTTGCTGGCAGCGGAAATTGTAGCTAAATTTCATTTCAAAGCACTTAGCCATGCTAATGTTGGCTTCTCATCGCGGGGCTAATCAAAGCTCAAGGCATACTAAACGCCACACTAATAGTAGCAACAGCTTCAAGATTTATGTAGCATATCCATGCGTCTGGCTCAGGCACAACACATCAGAGTTGGCTGAGGCACGAGTGCTGGGGCTAAGGCCAAGGCGGAGGCTCATCAGCATCCATCTTCCAACCTAAAGGCGCTGCAGTCATTGGTTCTCTAATTGGGCTGGCCCAAGCTACAGCATCCAGTGTTGATTAACGTGCCCACCAATTACGCGGCCCATATATAAAATGGGCTCAGGCGACAGGAGGTAGGCTGGAGGGCCTCCTGATGCATATCGACATGGCCAGTGATAAAGTGTGCGTAACAAAAGCTAATAATTGCCCAGCAACGTGCTGGCCACGTTGAAAACTAGCCCTCGTTGTTGTTTTTGTTGTTTCTGGCTGTTTGCTTTTTGAGTGGCCAAAAAGTTTTGGCATCATAATTTATAGCTGCGTTAAACAAGCGAGGATAACAAATTAATTTTGTCTGTTCGAAGGAGAAAGAAAAAACCAAAGAAGCCGCAAGGACCTAGGCGAGGTGGACGCTGACCGAACAGGACGCAGCCAGGACTTATGAGCACAACGTTTACTCTCGAATTTCTTAGTTGGGCCAATTAATTTCTAAAGTCAGCGACGTGCCACAATGCTCCTGTTTCCTGTGCTCGTGTGTTTGTCTGCGTGTGTGTGTGTGTGTGTGTGTGTCAGTGCCTCGTAAATCTTAACGAGCCAAAGGCGAAATTCCTACGCACTCCTAACGACAACAACCACGACGAAAGCAGCACTCGCGAATGCCACTCATAAATATAAGTTGCAATGTGGCAAGTAGCTGTAGGGTGTGTGAAGCAGAGCTGGCTGGCTGGCTGGCTGCTTGTTATTCCAACGTTTGTGGCCATAATGACCATTGTGTGTTTGTGTGAGTGTGTATACGCATAACGCCCCCTCCAAGCCTCTGTCGTCCATTGAAATACGTCAAAATATTTGGCATTCGATGTTTGCCACGTTTGCCAGCGTGCTGATATATATGCGACGAATGCTGTAAGCTCCACCCCCACTCACCTCTCTGTGGTAATAACTGCCATCTAATCGCAAGTTTTGTTTTGTTTTATTGTCACACACACACACACACACACACACACACACACACAGGCACACAGTAGCACACACACAAGAATAGAAGGCCAAATCGCAGCCAAGCAAAACACATAAATCTCACTCATGACTTGGACTCCAATGCTCGACTCCTCGGCTCGGACTTGGCTGCCGTCTCCGCCCACAACACAGCCCGCATGTTTTTTTGGCAAAGGTGTTGATAACGTTGTTTTATTGTTGTCTCAGCTATTTTTGTTGTTGTCAACTTGGTTGCTGTACATCTTAATCGTAATGCAAAAGTTGTCAAGCTGATATGTAAACGAAATACGTGCCGCAAATATTTGCTGATGTTGAATTCTTTTTCGTTTCGTGTCAACGCAGCATTTTCTAATTTATGTCCATGACTGCTCGGCAAAATGTATATAATTTATATATCATCATACATAAAAAGTTCCTATAATCGATATTTCAAGTTTACAGAGAGCATTTCTCGGCACTTCTCACTATCATAAACTAAATAATAATAGTAAAATTAATATTATAAATAGAAGTTCAAGGTGATCTTTAAATAAAATTAGATAATATTATTAAATCGAGGATAGGATATGTTGCCAGATTTAGATACAAAATTTATCTAGTAGCCGAACCATGAACAAAGAGCCAAACCTCGTGTGAAGGTCTTTAACATGTGTATTTCCCCCACCTGGAGGTAGAACTCATTAAAATTCCCTCATCCCTCATCGCACAGGAATGTTTTTGTATTTCTGCTTAATCCTCTAGAATTATTACGAGTATTTAAAATAATTGCTATAGCTTATGCACTTCTGTATAATAAAGTCGATTCATTTAATTATATTAAATGCACTGATATTGCAAATAACTGTCATTTTAGAAATTTAAATAACAGGAAATCAGGAATATAGAATGCAGAAGCTCTTAACTTTCAACTCGGCTTTGCAGCTTTATGGCCACAAAATCATGCTGAAAGGGCTGTCGGTAAGCCGAATCCAAATCTACACCCAAATCCAGCGCCCAGCTAGGTACATCCACACCCACTTCTGCACACGCGAATACACACAGACACACATATACACACGCACACTTGGCCAACAATTAATCCACATCCGAGTTATAATTCATGCTGATTGTATGAACATTTCAGCTTTTATGTGAACCGTAAAACTTTACTTCCTGACTTTTCATCAGCCAACAGCCCAGAACTCAAACCCGAACTCAAGCGAATCCTTTTCACTCCTTCAAATCTGGATAGTCAGTTTACCTGTGCTGCTGGTGGTGTTGGCGTTGCAACCAGACAAAGTTTTTTGCTCCGCTCCGATTTTAGCTGGGAGAACTAGAAAAGTAGAGAATTTTCAATTTTTGTGTGTGCCGCTTGAACAATATTTTTGTGTGTGAATAGTTTTCAGTAATTCCAGTTACAGTTTGCAACGTGTTCGCTCCCTCTCTCCCTATCTCTCCCTTTCTCTATATATATATAAACTTATATATGTATATATGGCTTATTCCCTATCTAACTGTGGTTACAAAAGACTTTTCAGCACACACGGAGACATAGCGTTTGGTCCGCTGTGAAACGATGACCAGGTACGATGTAGCTCTGTGTAGTTGCTTCCGTTTCCGTTTGCAACTTTGTCCTGTCGCTTTATGGGGGTTGGGTGGACTCGGAGCGGAACGTGGGGCTGGTCCAATGCGCTCTACTTAAATATGATTATTATTAACCCTAGCAACACTGTGGTACTTAACTGGCAGCCGCTAGGCTCGATTTGAGTGGCCCAGATGTTGGCAGCCTACCTGAGAGCGAAAGTTATGATTCGTTAAGGATCCCGCTGCACACATACAGCCCACATCCTGCGCCGTGACGTGCTTTTGACGTGAGTGGCTCTGTTCACGTAGTTGTTAAATGCCACGTTTCACTTGAATAATTGAGAGCGATTAGGCCAAAAACTTTTGCATTGATTAAGGTTTAAGTTGGCCAAACATTTACCCAAACTCTTCTCTGCCCTCCCTGCCACTCAATTGCCTGGCGGCTAACATTGTTTTCTATGGTCTGTATACATGTGCCTACCTCCTGTTCCTGCTCCTGCTCCTGCTCCAGGTCCTGGCTCCCACCTTTGTCATTTGCTATCAGCAAATGTTTAAATATGCATTACGTGTGTTATTCTCGTGTTCAGCAGCACTTAGGGATTACCAAGAGCCTCGAGTTGCAGTTCGAGCTCAACTTGGAGTCCGAGTTGGAGGCGGTGCAAAAGTTGGAGTTTTAGTTCGTCGTTGCTGCTGAAGTTGACGTAGCATGGGTTCGCTTTTTTACCCATATTTGTGTTTGCTTTAAAAATGCAATGCCTCCGGTTTTTGCCAGTCATCCAGTCAACATTTTTTATCATATCTCTGGAGAAATTTGACATTTTAACACTACCCACTTGATGAATTTATACTTAAGTCTATAAAGTTAGACTAGGCTCCTGTTAATATCACCTAGAGGCCTATTGTATCATTGTGATTCCCGTGTAATTAATTTAAGTGTAGGAAGCAGCTAGTCTAAGGTTGCATAGTGATTGTGACACTGAATAAACGTTTTAACTTAATTTTAATTTACTTTTTGATTTAAAAATATAAATTTAAAGATTCACATTCTAACTACGAGTTTGCAGCTGTTAACATGTTTTTATTTCCACTAGTCTCTGGCTTCACTATTGTGTACAAAATTTTTATAAGAAAATTTATTTGGGAAGGAAACATATTTGGGACACATGTGAGGACGTCAAAGATAATAATGTGAAAAAGAAGGAAAAGTCACTTTGGCAAACAGAAGAAAAAGTACCCATATAAACAACTCTCTGAAAAATGCTTTTGTACGGAAGCACTTTTCCAAATCAATCGTCTCTAGATTGGTAAAGATATCTAGAAAACCAAAAAAATTTTTGTCTACCGATGCTTTCTAAAGAGCTTTTTGATAGAGTAAGCCCGACAATGAAAAGTTTGGCCAAAATTATTCGAATAACAATAAACTTGCTTATGTAAAATGTTACTTTTCATCCAATCAAGTATAATAGTTCGATCCATATTTATATTGAGTCGGTTGAACAAGAATATACTTTTTGTAATATCCTCTAAATATATAAATATTAAGCTAATACAGAACAGAATTAGGGACCATTTTTCGAGCTGTTAGAGAGAGCGAGAGAGAGAGAGAAACAGTTATGGAAAAAAACACCTTCTGGGTAACCAAACAACTATGCAGATGTTTGAGCCACTAATTACACCAAAAATGACACTAATGAAGTACACAAAAAAATGTTTGGGCCAAATTGCTGACTCGGGCAGACAGTGAACAAGCATGTCAGTGTGACCAGGCGATATTCAAGCCGCATGCATGGCTAACTGGCAGTCAGGATGCAGAATGCAGCAAACAAGGCCCGGGCATCATTATGCAAGGCAACGCAAAACATGCGACGAGCAAAACTGAATAAAATGAAAAAAAGATGCAGACGGAGTGAAAGCGGACCCATAGAAATCTCGTAGAGAACTGGGCACACAAAGGCACATTATCTCAAGCAGAGAGTTGGGCAAATGTCAAACGTTTTGCCCGTCCGTAGAAAATTTGCATGCAAAGCCGTAGCACAGAGAATAGCCTTGTCATGGGCACGCCTCCAACTAGAGCCACGCCCATTTGCAGTGGGTGCGTTTGCTTTGTGTGCGATTTGAACAAATGCAAACACTTTGATTTTCGTTTTTTGCATACCGACCAGAGGATCAACTGGCAACCAACACTAACACTTGTGCACACCCGCACACACACACACAATTTGATTGTGTGTGCTTGTGTGTGTGAGTTTTATTTATGTTCTACGCTAGAAATCTACTTGCACCGCACCACAAATCTCAGCTCAGCGAGTGCAGCGCGTGCAAAGCAAACTAAAGCAAAAAGAGTAAAAATAAAAATAAAAATAAAAATAAAATTGTGGCCCCTGGATATTCAACAAGGGTATTCGAGGAGGCCAGCCAAAGGGCGACGCATCGCATTCGCATTAAATCGAAGTCGTTCCCGTGACTGCGCCTCCACGACACCCATTCCATTCACATAACCACACTCACATCAACTATTGCCATTTGGCAGCTGAATTACTTGCGGCCAGTCGCGCTGGAGATGCTCTCGTGAGTGTTACTCATAACCAGAAGAGTACTCGGGAGTATTCATAATAACATGGAGCATTCCTATTATTCAAATACTCTTGTAAGTTTTCCATGTGAGTTACAAGTAACACAAACTAGAAAACCTAAGCCTCAAAATATTGAAAAATATCGAAATAAGTCGGGTTGTATATACTGAACAATTCTCTATCTTAGCCTGATGACTCTCAGTCTGTAACTCCAATGAAGTTCATTTGTCGAGACTGTAGTAAGCGTGGACGCAATAAGTAAGCTACCAGTTTAATTTATCATAATCAAATAAAATGTAAACGTACTCACAGACGGTCAAATGGGCGGTCAGCATGGCGTATTTTCTTTACTTTGTAAACCAATTAAAAATAAAAATAAATGAAAATCCTATAGGCGATTTTGCTATTGCGTCGAGTTCACTTGTTTTATTTATTTTGCAACTTGAAGTGAATTGTAGCGTGCAATTGTTGCATTGATATCCAAAACAAATAATAAATAAAAAGCTTCCAATGGCAACATCCCTGTTTCGAGCCAAATAGTTACGAAGCCGATTTTCAAGCATAAATTTAAAATAACCCAAGCGAAACCGTCAAGACCAAATAGTACAAAATTCAATTTGGGATATTAACAATTTTGTTACAACATGTTTCAGTTTCTGCCAAAGGTTCCCTTAGGACGCATGTAAAATTATCAAGTTTCGATTGATAGACATATATGATATAGTTAATTTATCTTTTTGATTTGGAACATAAATGCAAAACAACTTGCATGCCTGTAGGAAACCACGTTCGCCAACCAAACTTAAGCCTAGGCATTGTTTCAAAAAAGAGACAATTTTGTGGAGTTTGCAGTCATGCCTTAAAAACGCAATTATTTAATGAGACCACGAATCTCATTTTGAACATAAGCCTTTATGGCTCGACTTGTCAGTATTTGCATTAATTAAATGCCCATTAATGAAAAGCATACTTCACTTCAAATAGTTGCAACACTTTGAGATTTGTACTTCCCGAAAAGAATCACGTGATCATCTCTGCTCCCCAATGGCAATAGCTGCGATTCCATGAGATTTTCTATTTGGCTGCAGCACTTTTTTTGCAATTCTTTTCTGTTGGGTCTGTTTGTGTCTCGTTGTTGTCGGTTTGGTGGTCAGGAGGGGTTAAGAGCGGCAAACACAAACACAGCCCACTCACCTACACACAGATGTAGACTTGCATATCTGTGTAAATTTATGATTGCCCCATTTCCGTTTTTTATAGCCAGCCGCTGCTATTGACTGTCTTGCTGTCCGCTTGTACCTCAGTTCGCCCCTTGCCGCCCCCCCTCCATGTACCAGCCAACAGGCAGGCTCTCTGTCTGGCTGGAACGGCTTGCTTATCCTGAGACCGGCATTATTGTGTTACTCCCCCAAGCCCCCGTCCCTTGGAATGATGCTGCACTTTTCTTGCATTCCCCTTTGAACTCTTCCTCACAATCCTTTGGTGCTTCTTTTTCATTCTGCTTTTTTATTATTTTGCAAATCCATGCCGCCTGCAGCTGACTTGCGACTGGGTTATGTTCTGGACACTGCAACGGCTGCCACGGGTATTGAGTCGTCGTGGCTCAGTGCGCCTGCTCCCGGTCTCTGTTCGAAGCATGGTTCTGGCCACGGCTCTGGGTCTCCGTATGGGGTTTTAATTTTGACAGCTGCAGATAAATTGTTAAATGCAGGCTCGTTCAGCTCCCTGAGTGCTTTATGTGGGCTTATGTTTGTGTGTGTGTGTGAGTGTGCGGTTGAATATAAATTTATCTGCCTCGTTTTTGCTCAGCCGTCGAAGCTGTACACATTTTTCAGAGTTTTTCTTTTGTTGGTGGCATTGACAGACGCCCATCAAATGCAAGCCCAAGTCCGCGTCCCCCATCCTCCCAACGGGCCCGATAGGCAGGCGTCGAACAAACAAAAGGGGAATAAAAAAAAACAGAACGGGTGAATAAAATCGAGGCCACTTGCAAATGCATTGTATCTATCAGTTTGTAGTTGTCATGAAATATGCTGGATCGTATTTACGTCATAAATAAAAATGGCGTTAACTATTTTCCATTTGCTGTTGAAGTTTTGTTCGGTTTGTGTAAACAGTTTTTTATCAAGCGTCAACATTTTACGCAATTTAAAGTTTTTTCAATCGATGCGCATATATCTGACCCACAATGCATCCATAGGGAATAACAATGTGTGACCCATTAATGCATCTATTAAGCATAATAGGATAATGTTGATGAATCAATGTATATTCTGCACATTATTATTAAGCAACATTCCATAACAGAGATAACTCTCCTTTATGATTTAAGTCGATATGTTGGTGGACGTGTGTGCTGCAACCTCTATAGCATCGATTCATAAATTAATTCAGGACGGTTATTATCTATCTCAAATTTATGTCTACTATAAGTAAAGATAAACCAACAAGTATCTGAGTGGCAAAAACCCCGAATCTTACTCTGGCAACGCAAATCCAGAGATAATCAAGAGTTGAAAAACAGACTCATACTGCGCGGAAATAAGGTTCTGAGATCGACGCGTTTATACCTACGGACAGACGGGCATGGCCAGATCAGCTATCCAGCAAAAACACTTCAAAAAAAACTTAGCTTAGCACCGATTGTTCACCTAAACCTATACAAAATAGAAATCCGTTGCTCATCAATTTTGAACCAGCTTTACCAATTAAGTTAACTCCATATTTGACAGCAAAGATTTTAGCGCCCGACAAAATAATTTCTTTATTTGTCGTTTTATGTTTTCATTCCTCTTCCCCAACCAAATATCTACCATTTGCCTCATTAAAGGCACTTAAAGCCAACCGCAGGACATTACCAGCTGCTAAGAAGAGCGCAATGCAAAGTGCAGCCAACTTTTGTCACTTCCGGCACACACACACACACACACACTCATACACAAAGCAGACAGCCGCAGTTGCAACAACAATAATAACAAGAAAAAGCAAATGAAGAGGAAAAAGCATGCACTGTTAAAGTAACTGCAGCGAGATGCCGAAAGCCGCGTTGACATTTTCATTTAAATTATGCACATCACTTGAACTTCCCGGCCGCAGACAATGGTTGACGACGCAGGACGCGGCAGATGAAGCCGAAGACAGGGCTGCCAAAACACGCAGATGAGAGCAGTGTGCAAGATAAGATTTACCCGCCTGCCCCTATCTCAGAGGAGCTATCCTCTTTCCAGCATGCCTTCTTATGCCACACACAGTTTTCAAGAAACTTTGTGTCAAGGCGCATTTTACAGTTATGGCTG